AGAGAGAGAGAGAGAGAGAGAGAGAGAGAGAGAGAAGAGAGAGAGAGAGAGAGAGAGAGAAGAGACAGAAGAAGAAGAGAGAGAGAGAAGAGACAGAAGAAGAAGAGAGAGAAGAGAGAGAGAAGAGCGAGAAGAAAGAAAGAGAGAGAGAGAGGGCTTCACAGCATCTGAGAACAGGAACAGAGAGACAGATACTGGTTCACAAGAGAGGCCAGTTCGCATGGTAGAGAGAGAAAGAGAGAACATCACAGCCTTGGATAGAGTAAGCAGTTCACAGCGTGTGTGTGCAATAGAGAGAGAAAGAGAGAGACCGGCTCACACCAGAGAGACCAGTTAACGCCACGGCCTAGAGAGAAGGAGAGCGAGACCAGTTCAACTATCGGTCTAAACCGAACTATCTAGACTCGACCAGGAGAGGCTGTCAAACCGGCCCAGCCGGTTTCCCAGTATTTTCTCCCTAACTTTTCAAAACGCACAAACAGCCAGCCAGCTCAGCAGATAAGCCCGGTCAACCACAACTAAACCGGCCGAATGTTCAGTTAACCGGAAGCAGCCAGTTCTTCCGGTTACAGCCGGTTCCGTAAACAATAAGTAAAGTAGAGACAATGGATTCGCAGAGCATCTTACATCACAGATCAGTTCAAGACAAACAATTCATGGAAATTAAGAATAATAATCCTTCAAAATACAATTAAAATGGAATAAAAGTTACAAGATAGCCATGGAGAACAAAATTTAAAAGCAGTAAAATTCAAATTGGGAATGGAATAAATGGAGAAAGTGAATACCTTGAGGCTGAAATTGGGTGTTTTCTGAAGAAGTATCCATGGCCACCACATCGCTGGTATTCTGCTTCTTGTTCCTTTTTTTCGCCATTAAAACTTCAAAGAAAGCCACCGATTTACGGGCGCTAGGGTTTTTCAGAGTTCTGGACTGGAGACGGGTTTCCCTCACAGGTAAGGTTCAGTGTAACTCTGGGGCTTCAATGACTTTGCAATCTTGTCAAAATCCATTTTAGAATTAGGTTTAAATAAGTAAAGCCTCAACTCAAAATTCACCGAACATCACAATTCTGAAAAGAAAACTTTCACATCGATCATCACAGCCTTGCCCATTAGGGTTCTAAAAATAAAAACATACAAGCTCTTAAAATAATATATATTATTATAATATAGGAAAAATTTGATATAGAATTTTAATTCTTCATATTATCTAAACCCTCTTTTCATTTTTTTTTCAAGTGGCATAAGAAAATCTTTAAAGATTTTACAATACCCTTTCATCTCTAATATCCATCTTTTATTGACTTTTAATCATAAAACTTAACCCCAAAAAATCATTTTATATCATTTTAAGCCAAATTTTTTTTAATAGGTAAAAAGGGAAAAAAATGATTAAAAAAGTTATTAGGTTAAAATAGTATACAAATATTTGTTGGAACTAATTTTTATGATAAAAAAATCAATAAAATAGGGAGATAAAAGATGATGGGGTACAGTGAAATATTTAAGAGTTTCTTTATGCTGCTTGAAAGAAAAACGAAATGAGTGGCTACTATGAAATAACGTGAGGAATTAGGGTTCTATATAAAAAATTTTCAATAATATATTATCTAGACTGGACATTTCACTAGAAATAAGTGTTAATATGCAAAATATGTAAATTTTTTAGCTTCAAATTTTATAGTCGGAGTTAAAAATTGATTTTAGAGTCTTCATGAAATTCCTATAGCTTTAAGTGCTTTCCAACAAGAAATCGAAGTGAGTCTTTACTTTGTTTTTATAAAACCTAGGCCTTACAAAAATTGCATCCTTTATAAATTGGCATCCTCTTTGGTAACATATTCACAATATAATAGTAATGTTTCTCCCACTTATTATTTTACACTGAGTTATTGATTTCTCGGTAATATATAAGCAATATTTATATTTTATCATTAACATATTAGTATATTTATATAAATATTTATTAATATAAATGTATAAGATTAGGCCACAACCTAAAAAAAATTGATTATTAAGCATTGATTTCACATATTCTAAAAAATTAAACCCCTGTACTAAATCAATTTTTACATATTTCAAAATTTTAAATCTGGTTGATCTATAGAACCAAATGAATTTTACAGATTATGCATGGTTTATTTTTTTACATATTTACGTAGTAAATCAATAAAATCTATTTACAAAGTAAATTTATAAATAGATTTTGTGAAGGTTGATGTTACACAGAGACAGTAAAAACACAATACAAAAACTGAAAACAATTTCAAAACATACCACTAAACCCTTAAAATTTACTTGTAAAGCACTAATGATTTACTTGTACAATTAATTTATGCCACACCTTTAAACTTTAATATTCGTGCCCAATACTAAAAAGTAAGAGACCTGAAGATAGGAGAGAGAGATTTGTGTTGTGTCTGTAAAATGAGAGAGAAGGGGTGAGAGCTTTTTTTTTGGGGAAATCATAGTTAGCAAGTTGCCATTTTTTATGGTGATTTTTTTTTGTAAATATCACCATTTTTATAAGTGATTTAATCTATAATATTTTCAAAATATTGGGAAAATATGATATGTCCCTACAACAGACTTGTTGCCTCGCGGGTGCATTTCGTGGTGGAGAAAGAAAAACCCCCTTATATAGCTAGCGAAAACCTTTGTAGCTGGGCTATTTTTGATAGGCTCCATGCCTTGCTATTGGTGTGTCAAAGGTTCTTCACATGGAGGACTGTGCTTTATTTTGACTTTTGAAAAAAAAAAACTTTTCAAGAAAAACTTTTCTATATTTATTGCATCCAAAATTCAAAATTCACTTTGCTTTTTATATCTTTATCCCTTCTATTTGTTGGATATGGTGATTATCGATAAGTTTCATAAAGGAAATAGAAATCCAAAAGATTAGGCCATTAAGATATATCTCTTGGTTCTTGAGATATATGTAACATCGATAGAAAGTTTCTTATTTGGTGTGGTAACCATATATATATATATAT